CATACACACACACGATCCTTCTTTCCCAATAAAATAAAGACTAGATCTGTTTTACACAGGCTTGTGAAACAGAAAATTTAAAAAAAAAAGAAAAACATGGTTGGCTGGACGCAATGGCTCATGTCTGTAACACCAACACTTTGGGAGGCCCAGATGGGATGATCGCTTGAGCTCAGAAGTTTTGGAGCAGCCTGGGCAATAGGGAGACCCTATCTCTACAAAAAATTTAAAAATTAGCCAAGCATGGTGGCACATCCTGTAGTCCTAGCTACTAAGGAGGCTGAGGCAGGAGGATCACTTTAGCCCAGGAGTTTGTGGATGCAGTGAGCTATGATCACATCACTGCCCTCCAGCCTGGGTGACAGAGTGAGACCTTGTTTCTTAAAAAAAAAAAAAAAAGTTGACTTTTGTAATTCAAGAGAACATTGTTTTATATTTCCTAAGATGCTTTTAAAATAACTTTTAAAAAATAATGCATGTTGTGAACTAAAATAAAATCTTTCTTTTTTTTGAGATAGAGTCTTGCTCTGTCGCCTGGGCTAGAGTGCCCTGGTGTCAGCCTAGCTCACAGCAACCTCAAACTCCTGGGTCAAGCGATCCTCCTATTTCAGCCTCCCGAGTAGTTGGGACTACCAGTGTGCACCACCACACCTGGCTAATTTTTTCTATTTTTAGTAGAGATGGGGGTCTTGGTCTTGCTCAGGCTGATCTCGAACTCCTGAGCTCAAGTGATCTTCCCACTTCGGCCTCCCAGAGTGCTAGGATTACATGTGTGAGCCACTGTGCCCAGCCTAAAATAAAATCTTAAGCCCCCAACTGACTGAATGGATACACTCTTAGCCAAGAGAACCCAAGAAATACCCTAAAGCTGGGTTGCTGGCCATGAGGAGGGAGGTCAGACACGCCTCCTCATGCCCCCTCCCTTCTTGGAGATATCCTTTCTACTAATAAGATGCTAAATCATCAACAGGCCTCAGGCTATACAAGACAAAGGTTAAACCACACCCACAAGCCATCAATTTACTTAATAGATCACTTGAGTTTTAGTAAAGGTCTGGTGGCTTGTCTCCGATTAATGGAGACAATGGAGACTTTATCTTAAGTTAAAACATTCTGATCCTTTAGACAAAACTTCATTTCTTTAGCCAATTACAAATAAAAGGATCTTTAAATCCACGTATAACTTGTAAACTCCTCCCCACTTTGAGTCCTGCCTTTTTGGGCCAAACCAATGTATGCCCTTCATGTATTGACTTAGGGTCTTATGTGTATTCCTGTCTCCATGAATGTATAAAACCACACTGTAGCCCAGCTACCCTGGCCACATTTTCTCAGGGCCTCTTGAGACCATGTGTTTCAGGCCCCTCACACACATTCAGCTCAGAATAAACCTCTTTAAATTATTGTACAGAGTTTAGGTTTTTTTTCTGTTAAGGATGTGCATTCTAGATAAACTACAAAACTGGTGAAACAAAAAGGAGAAAATGAAAACCAGCAGTAATCACACAACCTAGAATACTGTGGTTAATGTTCTGGTGTATCATTCTTTTCCAGACTTTTTCCCGAAGTGTGTGTTTAGATAAGAAACAAAAGATGGCCTGGTGGTGTGGAGTGGAGGAGGTAGTGGTAGAGAGAATGGGAATTAGAGTCCCTGTTCCATACCTCACCGGCCTCAGACTAGCCCCTATTTATTCCCCTGTAACGTGTGCCTTTTTTATACCTCTGATTCTAAACTTCCCTGCATTAGGAAATAGCTTCATATAGAGTTGGACATTTATGAATGACTTAGGTTTCTATACAGTCAAATCTGTCTCTTTTTGGTTTGTAATCTTCTGGTCTTGGTGTAATACTAAAAAACCCTTCCCGACTTAGGTATCATAAAAATATTTTATACATTTTCTGGAAGTTTTAGAACTATTTTTTTTTTTTTTAGATTTAAATCCGAAATTTATTTATGTGTCTAGTGTGGGGTAGGGATCTAACCTTCTTTTCCAAATGGCTGCCCTAAGGGGATATATTCCTTAATCTCTTGCGCCATTAGCTAAGACTTCCCTAGACAATGCAGGAGGCGCCCAGACACGTTCTACTTTTCTTTTTCCGGACTTCACAAAGATCTACACTCATTTGTTTCTGCTTGTATTTTTAACCATCCCTTTTTCGTTTCAACCTCTGGGCTTCCATTATATCCCATGCATATCTCTTTTCACTTATCCATGGCATCTAAATAATATATTTTCTTTTCCAAAGATTTTACTTATTTATTTTCCAGGATAGACTTGTTCCATACATAATAATCTATTTTCAAATAGTTCTCCCACACAAGGCTGTGCGCTCCTTGAGAGTAGGGACCATCTTTATCAACTTCATATCTCTAGAACTTACAATTTAGCAGCTTCCTCAATAAACAATTGTTAAATAGAGTGAGTGAATGAATGAACATGGCCCCGTCTTACATCCCATTGGTTATTGGTTCTATTTAGAAGTTGCTTCCCAAGGACACAGAAGGCAGTATCTTAATCGAGTACGTTGGTAGCATACCTCCAAATTCCATTTCAGGTTACTTCTGAGAATGCTTCCTGAGCAAAATTAATCCCTTTAATGCTGTTTGGATTTCCATTAGCTTCAGCTTTGTAGCATTGTTGGGGCTCAGAAACTGATATGGTGCTTTGAAGAAGCTTCAAGGTCTCTCTGACCTTCCTCCCACACTAAGTCTTTCAAGGAAGGGAAGTTCCTTTACCTGCCTAAGATCCAGGCCCACCAAGGAAAACAATTGTTTTTTCTTCCCCTCACTCTAAGACCACACCTGATCAGGCCACACCTGAGCAGACCCTTTCACTGTCAAAGAGAACTATTTATAAGTTAATCCATTCATTCTCTCTAGTAATATTTTATTTCCCCTCAACAGAATTAATTCTTCTTATTCTCCTATAACCTGTTTTACCAGGATGGTATGTAAGCTTCTGAACCCCAAGGGGGGAGGAGAGGTGAGCAATCATGTAACCTGCTCCATGGACAAATTTCAATAACCCCTATATGTTTTTTATAATCCTCTCACTTAACTAACTACTGACATTTTGAGTTGTTTCCCAGAAATGGTGGACAAAGGAGTTGAGATGCTGAAGGCTCCAGGGCCAACTTCCTGGCCAGGACTCACCATCCCCAGTGACCTGCCCCAAGGCACATGGCCCATCCTTAAAAAGCCTATGATCTCCATTAAGTCAGAGAGAGACAGATTTATGGCAGCTTCTCCTGCTCTCCTCAGTCAACTGTGGTTTGCAAATATTACAGTATTTTGAGAGAGACCACATTCACATAACTTTTCTTACGTTATATTGTTACAATTGTTCTATATTATTATTGTTGTTAATCTCTTACTGTTCCTAATTTGTAAATTAAACTTCATCATAGGTATGTATATACAGGAAAAAACATAGTGTATGTAGGGTTTGGTACTATCTGTGGCTTCAGGTATCCACTGGGCATCTTGGAACATATTTCCTGTGGACAAGGGAGACTTCTGTACCTACAGGATGCTCCCAGGGACAACAAGGTAGCTGCTCATTCAGGAAATGTTATCAAAAGTTCAGCACTTGTCCCCGAGACCACATCCAAAGAATGAGGACAAGTGGTTTGAGGAGAAGGAAAGGGAGGTTTATTAATTTGTGGGCAAATGAGGAGAATGGCAGACTCGAATCTTGAAGTACCATTTTCCTATCTATAAGCAGAAATACAGAGCTTTTAAAGGGAGGGTTTTCAGCTCCAGGGTATTGTTGTTTAACTATAGTTGATGGTTCTGATTGAGACAGTCTCATGACTTCTGTATCTGTTGAGCTATCTTGTGTGCTCCATAAGAACAAAGAACACACCCCTGCCCTTCCAACCACTGGCCTTGGGCAGGAAGGCAGATTTGAATTCCCAAAAAGAGTAGGGGAGGTTTTAAAGAGACAGATTGTAAAACATTTTATCCTTTTTCAGGCTGTTCCCTCTGTTACAGAAATATTCACAGTGTGTGTACCGTCTTCAGGGTCTTGTGTTAGCTTCTGTGGGAAAAGTAAAGCTGAATCAGATATGGCCCCAGCCCCCAAGGAGCTCATGACATCATGATAACAAGTCTCTTTTGGTGAGTTCATGGGGTAGGGTGTAGAAAAGGCAAGGCTGTGGCTGCCCTTTTGGTCTGTGGTGCTGAGTGGCAGCAGGGGCAGCTGTGAGCGGGCAGCTGTGAGCAGGCAGCTGGCCTTGGCAGGACAAGGAGCACCACCCAAAGGTGGACAGTAGGGAAATGAGGCCTCCTCCTACAATTTGGCAAATGAGCAGCCTTGGGAACATGAGTAGAAAGGAGAAGCATGTTGATTATTTCACCTGAGAAGATTGCTTCTTTCCTACTTTCAAAAGTTTCCTCTGCATTCAGTGAGTAAATACTTACTGAGTTCTGTGGGAGTTTTTCTTTTTTATCTTGAATCTCTCTTCTGTTTTACACCAGGCCACATGGACTGTGTACAGGAGGGCTTCCCAGGAGGAGGAAGAACTTTGGATGTGTAGAAGGGGTAGAACTCTAAGGAGGGTGCAGCCCATCTTTCAGGAAATTGTGCCTGAGCGTGAGCTTCATTTTACAACCATGATTGTAAACAAAGTTGATCACACTGAATCTTTGAACGCTTTCTCGGAGGCCAGAAATCATAACCCCATCTTTACCAAGAGCCCACTTCCCTGAAACATGCACTAAGCTTAAAGCTTAACACATGCCATTTCCTCCTTCCCCATCTTCCTCAGTACCTTCAGTATCTTTCAGATACCGGCTGCAGCCTAGCCAGTAACACATTAACTTGGCTTTCCTGTTTATCTATTCTCTTTTACTACCTCTCTGAGTCATGGTCTTTTCTCCTCTATAAATTACTAAAACTGCCCTTGCTACATATTACCTGCCTTACCTGCAACATTTTTTGTCCTGGAAAGCCTTGGAATTCTGTTAATACCTATCACTGTAGGTGCTGAGGGGAAACAGATGAAGAACATGACCTTGAGAAGCTTCCTGTCGATGAGAGGAAAAAGCTGACACCTGGCAGAGGTAAATTCCACCATAACAAAATAAGCAAAAGGGTGGATTAGCCAATTTGCAAATTCAGCTTAAAATGAGTGGATCTGCCTGGGCCCTCCTCTGACCCTGGTGTTGGGACTATAGGGTTCCTGGAACCTCCGTTAAGGTTAACACCAAATCCCACTGGTTTATTTCAAATTTGCCTTGATGACCCTGGCTTAGTTTCTCCATTCCCCATGACTGGAACTCCTAGACCTTCTCACAAACATAGGAGGATTTATAATTCAAAAGCTCAAGGGATGAAGGCAAAGCTATTTGTTCACCGAGCAGACTAGACTCATGATTAGGAGGAAAGGATTTAGGAGTCTGGGTGGGAAGAGTTTGCTATTAATATTTAAAACAGAATCATAGTAATAATCATTGTGGGAAAACTCAGGACTCTGTTGGACTTTCCTGTACTTACTATGTTGCTTTTATTTTGGATACTGGAGAGAGGTGAAGGCCATCATCTTTTCAGTGCTTGGGATATTTAAATATCTTCATGTGCTCCTGGGCTGTTATATAAATTTGACTCCAGGCTCATCTGGTTTTGCCTTTGGTCCTCAGTAGTGGTAAAAAGAACCCTAATGAAGAGCCTCATACCCTAGGTCTGAGTTTCTGCCTTGAAATGTGTCTGGGATCTCAGGCACTCTGGGACTGGGTCCTTCCTCCCTCTTGCCAGTGTCCCATCTCTTCTACAGGGTCAGCATGGAAATAAGGTGTGGAATCTGTTGACAATCTTTCCAAATACCTGATCTCTCTGTAGGTCACCTAGTCCGTGATCTTCCTGTGCCCTTCTCCAGACATTCTGTTCCCTTTCCTGCACCTCCCTGAAGTCAGCAGCAGCTCATCCCTGGTCTTGTTCTCTCTGGGGTGCTGACAGTGACAACTTACAAGTGGGTCTCTTCCCAGGGCACAGAGAAGGGCAATTCTGAATCCTTTCCCTAACCGCATCATAAGCATCAACACTTATGCTTGGTCTAGAGTTCAGGAATGCCTTTTTTTTTTTGACACGGTCTCGCTCTGTTGCCTGGGGTAGAGTGCAGTAGCATCATCATAGCTCACTGCAGCCTCCAACTCCTGGGCTCAAATGATCTTCCTGCCTCAGCCTCCTGAGTAGCTGGGACTACACCATGCCCAGGTAATTTTTCTGTTTCGTGTAGAGACAGGGTCTCCCTCTTGCTCAGGCTGGTCTCCAACTCCTGGCCTCAAGTGATCCTACCACCTCGGCCTCTCAAAGTGCGAGGATTACAGTCATGAGCTACCACGCCTGGCCTTAGGAATGCTATTTGTAAAAACACTCCTTGAGTTATTCTGTCAGTAAAATAGGTTTTTGTGGGCTGACACTGGAGCCTACTTAATAATAGCCTTCATCAAGGGGCCACAAATGATAGGCTGCATATGCCATGTCCTTCACAGGTGTAATCTTCTTTAATTTTCACAATAATCCTATGGAACAGGTATTAGCATTAGCCTTTACGTGAAGGAAGTCACTGAAACACAGATCGATTAGTCACACAGCTAGAACGTGGTAGAGCCAGCATTTAGGCCTAGCTTTGTCCTGTCAAAGCCCACACTCGCCTTTAAGTACGATGCACTTGGTGTTACTAAAACATAGATTATCTCAACAAAATATAGCCACAATTTGTTAATATTATGTTAAAATATATTTAATAATAATAAGAGTAGATATCTGTTTCGGTTACCTTGAAAATCAAATATTCAAAATGGTTTCTCTTTATTGGGAGACTCCAATGCAGTTTTTATGGGAAAGAAGGTGGGACTGGAAGAAGTCATCAAAGAAAAATCAGATATGAAGAAACTGGAGAGATTTTTCTAAGCTGGATATTGGAGCAAGTGTTTATCCTTTAATCATTCCTGTCCCAGGGGTTTGACAGCTCAACAATGGGGATTCACCGAGAATCCGTATATTGGAAGCTGGCAGAAAACAGAGCGAGTGGAACGGGGCCCATCAAAGCAGAGGCGCAGAGGGCCCTCTGTGTCTCCTTTGCCTTTGCCTGCGTCTTCATCCACAGTCAGAAATGGGCGGAGAGGACCAGGAAAGGCCTAAATTCCCTACACTGAGAGTATTGGGTGTGTGCGCGTGTTTGTGTGTGTAAACAATTCATGTACAAAGAAGGCAACTCTGACCTCCATTACGAAATTATTGACTTCAGATGAAGCCCAATCTTCTGGACTCTGTGATGCTTGAGGTGGGACTCCTGCAGACCACGTTTCTGCTTTGACAGTGGCTCCCTATAGACTCTGCCAGTAGGGGGCGCTGGAGGGAGCCCGCCAGGCTGGAGGAGGGACTTCCTGTTTGCTTCCCATGTACTTCCTGTTTCTGGGAGCATCGCCACTTCAACGCCTGTTTACCATTCGGTGGGCGTTCCTCTGTGTAGCTGCGCTAAATCCAGTTTACAGTAACTGCGTACAGAGCTATCAGCTGCCTCTTGAGAGGTCTAGATCTCAGCGTGAGAACCTTCCTTTGAGCGCAGAGACCCCAGCATTAGTGGAGCGGGGCCTCTACCCCAATTTTAAATTTAATAACTTTCATTTCCTCCCTTTATTCCTTCAGTCTAGGAATGGTAGCTACTTACAATGCTACTGCCCTATAATTTAGCACCCCTCCCATTCCGTTATTTACTTAACTTTATAGCTAGTTAAGTTCTTTATATTAAATTTACCCTGATCAGATATTTGGGCAAGAATGCTGCGTTTTTGAAGGGATTGTTGGGAGTAGGGAAGAGAGAGGCTAAAATAATGTCAGCGGCTTTGAAAAACGCATTTTCCACACTGATTTGCCAAAACCACCCCATGGGGCTCTCACTAAAGTCCAACAGCCCACAGTATAATCCATTCTTTAGACTGCCAACAAGCCTAGACTCACAGACATTAGAGAGGGAGATCTACTGTTTGGAGCCCTGTGGGTAATTCTACAACCTAATCAGTTTATTAAAGCCTTAAATACAACAAAACAAAACAGTTTATTAAAGACTTAAATACAGGCAAATGTTTTTTTTTTTTTTTTGAGCAGTTGCCTTTGAAGAATAAACTCTGGTTTTCATTGATTTTTTTTTTTCAAAAAAACAAAAGAACAAAAAAGCCCTTGAAGGGTATTTTTAGTGTTTCTTTCTTGTAATGTTCAGTGAATGTGAGGAGTGACACTTGGATTCCCAAATAGAAGAGGGCAGGGGCATACCTGCGTGTTTCTATTGTTCCTTGTTGAGGCAGGAAAAAAGGCTTTTAAGTCCTTGTGTGAACATTGACAGGTTTTTTTTTTTTATGAAATAGTTTCGTGGCAGGAGAGCTCAGGTACAAACTGGGCTGTTCTAGTTGAAATACCTGCTTGCCTTCTCAGATATTGGGAGCATATTTTCCTACCTCACTCATCTCCCTGAATGACTTGTGCTTGAGACTATGCCCCTGAATGGTTTATCTGAGCTTGCTTTCTTATCTGAGGGTACGAAGTCAAAACTTGACGACTGATAGAGCCACCTGCTGCTCTCTACCTTGCAGAAATTAAAGAGGAACCTGAGACAGTTTCTTGGACAGCTTGTGAATATCAGAAAATATATTTTGGAGGGTTAGAAGACTAAGGGATATGGTTGGTCACATTTGCTGTCATGGAATTCAACCAGTCTTCTCTTGGAAACAGAATCACACCCTGGCAAGAGATCTTCGCTAAGCATGAAAGGAGCTATTAAAGGTGAGAATTTTCTTAATTTTCCATTTTTTTCCTCTTGGGTTTTCATAAAAGTTATTACTAACGAGGATGTAATCTTATGCTTAGAAAGAAATGGAGCAAGGGAAAATAATCACTGCTTGAAGGACGTGTCACATTTTTTCTCCTTTTTGGGATTATTTTCCATGATATCTGGTTTACTTTCGTGGTACTCAGTACCCTACACTGTATTTAAAAGGCAGGTTTGGTGGAACAAGCATGAGGCTTGCAGATGAAAACACTGGGGGGAAAGAGGAGTGGAGAGCAGTCCTGGGTTTGCTTCTTATGTGTGTTATTTGGCAAGTTTTTTAGCTTCTGCTTTCCTATTTGCAAAGGATGCCTAATAATAATACGTTTCAGGTTGGTTGTGAAGATTAAAGGGAACAATGTAAAGAAATATTTCTGACCCATAAAAGGCACTCATTAAATATTATATATGCACTGCTATGTGTGTCCATGTATGTAGATATATTTTAAATTTGGATGGACTATCTGAATGATTACAGTGCTTTTTTGGATAATTTCAGATTGTATTTCTTTTTTTTTTTTTTTTGAGACAGAGTCTTACTGTGTTGCCCGAGCTAGAGTGAGTGCCGTGGCGTCAGCCTAGCTCACAGCAACCT